AGGCACCTTGCGTTTATTTTTGCGCAAATTATATACATATACATATATTATAAATTGCAATATATTATATACTATATGTTATACTATATTACATTACTATATACTATGTTAAACTATATAATATATAGTATATAGTATATAATATAACATCTACTATATGTTATGTTATAATATAACATCTACTATATTATAACATATATCATATAATATAATATATGTTCTAATATAACATATGTTATATTTTTATAATATAACATATGTTATATTTTTAACATATATTATAATATTATATTATATGTTATTATATAATATAACATATGTTATATAATAATATAATACTATGAGATATTATCTACTATATTTTTTATTATCAACTATATGTTATATATTATCAACTATATTATAACATATTATATCATAATAAACATATGTTATATTAATATAACATATGTTATATTATATTATAACATATATTATATAATATAATATAACATATGTTATATTATAAGGTTTAGGGTTTAGGGCTAGTGTTTAGGGTTTAGGGTTTAGGTTTAGGGTTTAGTGTTTAGGGTTTAGGGTTTAGGTTTAGGGCTAGTGTTTAGGGTTATATTATAATATATGTCATATAATATATGTTTTAAACCCTAACCTTAAACCCTAACCCTAAACCCTAAACCCTATAATATAACATATATGATAATATAAAATGTTATAATGTATGATAATATAACATATGTACTAGTTTGAGTTCAATAGCATTAATTTGACTTCGATTGTACGAATTCGACTTCAATTGTATTAATTTGAGTTCAATTGTATTAATTTGACTTCGATTGTACTAATTCGACTTCAATTGTACGAATTCAACTTCAATTGTATTAATTTGACTTCAATTGTATTAATTTGAGTTCAATTGTATTAATTTGACTTTCGATTGTACTAATTCGACTTCAATTGTACGAATTTGACTTCGATTGTACTAATTCGACTTCAATTGTACGAATTTGACTTCAATTGTATCAATTTGAGTTCAATTGTATTAATTTGACTTCGATTGTACTAATTCAACTTCAATTGTACGAATTTGACTTCAATTGTATTAATTTGAGTTCAATTTTATTAATTTGACTTCGATTGTACTAATTCGACTTCAATTGTACGAATTTGACTTCGATTGTACTAATTCAACTTCAATTATATTAATTTGACTTCAATTGTATTAATTTGAGTTCAATTGTATTAATTTGACTTCGATTG